GAATATAGTGTTGTGCTTTTAACATCAGTACTAACCTGTAATAACTTTAAATTTCTTCAATATAAATATGGTTACTGTCATCATGCATTTCAGTACATATTTAGAAATTACCTAAACATGTTTTACTTTTTGGTTTTGATATAATTACATATTCAAATTAATCAATAGAATGCCTCATACTTTATTATTGCTGCAGCTGTAAGCGCTGGGGAGCGATTTTTCAGCAAAAATGGATAAAAATTCAAAACCCAGCTGATGGATCTATTCCAGGAGGTCCAGAGAACAGATCCAGTCAGATTGAACTGGGCCCAGATGCTCAGCACCGGTTCTACCAACTGTTTTTTACGTGAAGTGAAACACTTTAAACACAAAAGAAGTTTTAAATCATTTTATTGAAGTTGGATGCTGGTGCCTCACTCKGGGTGGGGCCTGCAAGCTTCTTCAAACAGGCCTCACATGGTTCTGGACTGGTCTTTTGAAAGGAGCAAGGCATAGAACCGGTCGGCTGTGGAGGTGTCATTGCACATAAAATGTGACAATTTGTGGCACACCTCTGGATTGTGGAAGTTCCTGGCATGAGTGGCAACTGATGTCCTGAAATCAATGAAGGTAGGTGTTCCAGGCAAACCCATTTCTTTCCATGCCACCTGGAGGAAACTCAAGAGGGTCTTTCCATTGTCTGTGGTCCCTGTCGTGAAGAAACTGTTGTCTGTTGGTTCCAGTCTAGCTCGAAGGCACATCCATCTGTCCAGCCACATGAACTCATCCCGGGTCAGGTAGATCTGGACCATCCCAAATGCACCGTTGGTCTTGTGCTCTCTGAGCTGCCAGAATAAACCAGAATGAATAAAAATGTTCTAGTGACCCACACCCAGGATATGGTTCTACTCAAACTGATAACAACACCGTGGCAGCCCTCTGGAGAGTCCTTTTTTACAGCTTCAACCCCTCCACCGACATGTTAGCCAACAAACCGGTTCTGTGTCCATAAATAGAAGATATAAAGGCAGCTGTGTAACAATAAAACCAWTACCTCACAGGTGGGATGTCTTCATTGTCCAGCATGCCTGTGGGGATGGATGCAWATTGGTTAAAAACAGTGATATGGCTGCAGTGGAGCTTGGCTGTGGTGCACTTACCCAGCAACTCTGGTATCTTGAGACGGGCCAGCTCCTTGCAGGTGGTTAGGTGTTTTATGATGGCCCTGGAAACTTTAGCATCCTTTACAGAGATCTGGTGCACGACCACTTCCCTGCTCAGATCACGGAGGCAGCTCTTCARGGCTCTGGACACACCAGCCTGCTGCCTCCTTGTTAGACGGCAGAGAGGCGATGGTGTCTCCATGAAATACTGCATGAACTGATGAATGTTTTTTAGGTATATGTTGGCTGTAGTGATGGATTTATTTGCTTTAGCCAGCTCCACGGGCCATCTCTGTATGCGTTCCACATTTTCCAAGAACAGGCACTTTTCTTTGTGCTGGTGTCCTTCAGACATGTAATCCAAGAACATGTGTACTGTTAGCTTTAGATACCACATTCTCTTTGTGTTTGTGGTTTGGACATCCACCCATGTAGAACCTCCTGAAGCCCCCCAGAAAGGAGACCACTGGTCCTGGCAAAGGAAGTGCCTGGGAAGGCAGTGGGCTGTCCGGTGGTGTTGTGTCCGGGGGCTCCAGCCAGCTTGCTGGAACCGGGTTTGGTACTGCTGGTGCAGAAGATGTGCTCGTTGTTTCTTCATCTTCCACACAATCTTCTTCTTAATCCTGACAATCTTCATTGGTCCTCGTCTTCCATGATGGTTCCAGTCCAGAGTCACCAGCCTGCTGTTCCCCACTGGGCTCCTCTGTCTGGAGGTCTGAGACGACCAGTGGGCTGACTTGTTTTTCCCTGAGATCTCTGATCATGTATATAATGTAGTTTCGCCTCACCTGACGCATCAGAGCCTGTCTCTCCACCTCAGTCAGCTCCACATGTCCCCGCAGAATGTGTTTGTGCAGCCATACAAGAAATCACTGACATCATCATATTGGGACATAGCATTGTTCACTGTGTCCGACCTCAGCAAAGTCACTTGTCTCCTCCATATTGACAGATGTTCACAGGTCGACTGACAAACCCAAATGAAGCAAATTTGTTCAATTTTACAAATACAGTAATTAACCCTTTACATCAAGGTTACATATTATTGTAGAAACAGTTTTTAATGTAAAAACTTGACTGTTTGTTGATCTTTAAAATCACTGTGTCAGATGGGTTTTCACAACATGTACAAATAAAATGCAGTGTTTCCCCTACCATTATCCAAGGACCAACGCCCCCCCCCCCCCCCCACTGCCTCAGTTGATGACATGGCATATAATAATTGTAGTGTTTTGAAACCAAAACAAAAGTAGTGTGACTCACCATTTGTTTCAGTGTAACAGCATTCCCTCTCTCGCCCCCCACCCCCCAAGCCACCCCCATGAAAGACCAATTCCTTAGGGGAAACAATGCAATTGGAGGCAGACCGTTCAGCTTTATTGAAAATTATTTTATGTTTACCTCCAGGTTCTCTGCATTCGAAGTTTTCACATCGATGTCATCTTTGCATTTTTGCATCCACAGTTGCAGATTTCAGAAATGCTTTTCCACTTTTCACCCAGTGGAAGGACTGTCAAAAACAACTGCGGCACTTTTTAACCATATCATCAAGGTCGATCAAGGAAGTTGCAGTTGTGAAAAGTCCAATAGTGTGCATGGCCAGATGGTAGTTTTTGGTGCGCTACAGAATAGGAAAACATAATGTCTAAATTGAACATAACACATACAAAATAATAAATGTCTCCACAAAATGACACTGACAGTTAAAAAATAACAAATACAAAAAACTAAATTTTGCAACAACAGCACAATTCTTACAACTTCTTACAGATGTCCTTAGTGTAGCAGTAACTTGGATTGGAATGTCAAACCCAAACCTTGTTTACCTCAAGACTGTGGCCTCTAAGCATTATTCTGTCTCATGCCTACTGAGACAAGAGTGATTTGATTCATTTACCTCCAAAACC